AAAAAAAAAATAAAAAAAAGGGGGCTAGTTCCAGGACAGTCTCCAAAGCTACAGAGAAACCCTGTCTCAAAACCCGCCTCCCGCAAAAAAAAAAAAAAAAGGAAAAAGAAATTATAACCTGAACCCCTGCAAGGGGTTCTGGGTCAACAATAAACAGGGATCTAGAGTGAGTTAACCTATCTGTGATCATCAACAAAGCATTACCTGCTGCAAAATGGAGGCCTTTAAAGGAGAGTGTAGCCAATAGATGGCACTGGCGACTGCGCGTCGTGTGAAGCTGGCAGAGGAGGCGACCACGGGAGAAGACCACGGGAGAAGACCACGGGAGAAGACCATGGGAGAAGACCACGGGAGAAGACCACGGGAGAAGACCACTCTGCCAACCAGAGGAGCTGCAGACTCTAGAGGGAGGTCAATGCGGTAGAGACTTTTCCAGAAGGTGGGCTTCGGTGGGTGCCAGCTCCAAGCTGAGTTTACTGACTCGGCCATGGAGTCTGCTGTGCTGTGGTCTCAGGGTCTGTTAGAGGAGGTGCTCCTGTTTGGAGGGTAGAAGATGTGACATTCCAGCTCTGGAAGCCCTTGGCCCGTGAGGAGCATCCACGCGGAAGAGCTGACCTTTCAGTCCTAACTTAACTTGGAATTATACTGGGTTACATTTTTTTTTTTTTGAGCTATTTAATTTTTCTGTACCTGTGCTTGTCTGCAGAGGCCAGAAGAGGGCGCTGGGTTCCCTGGGACTTGAGTTACAGACAGTTGTGAGTCACAGGTGTGGGGAATGGAACATGAGGCCTCTGCAAGTGCGGCCAGTGCTCTAACCACTGGACCATCTCTCCATCTGTGGCAGGAGGGGAGGGCGTCGCTTTATCCCTGTGTAAGGGGCTAACAGTAAATCTGAAAGTAAGAACAAAAGAAAAGGAGAGGAGGACTTAAGTCAGGGAGGATGGTCCATTTTCAGTGCAAGGTGTGTTCAAAAGCTCAGAGTCACAGGCCAGCAGGAAGCCCTAGGCTGGTCCTCCCTGGCTATGGCTGGTGCCTCCTCTCAGCTCATCCTAGGCTTGGGGAGGGACCTCTGGGAAGACTGGAGGATCAGCCTGTGGGGAAAGGAGAGCAGGGAGGTGCTGCCATCAGGGAGAAGGAAGGCTTTCTGTAGTAATAGGAGCAGCGGGGCTGTGTCCCCAGCACCCCGGCTGCCTGCTAGCTCATGCCCGAAATAACAACACACAAATTGTATTCTTTTGCGTATCATCCTTGCGCAGGGGCCATGCTAATCTTCTCTGTATCGGTCCAATTTTAGTATATGTGCTGCCGAAGCGAGCACTACAAATTGTATTCTTTTAAACACTGCTTGCCCATTATATCCAGCCTCTTCTCAGCTAACTCTCACACCTGGACTACCCCATTTCTTTCTTTCTTTTTTTTTTTTTTTTTTTTGGTTTTTCGAGACAGGGTTTCTCT